GGGTCAACTTTTCTGTGATTAAATTTTTTTAGAAATTGTCCTTGACTTCTAAAGATATTTCAGTGTCTCTGTCTTAATGAAGTTAGTTTATTGAACCTGATGAATATTTGTATTTTGTAAGTCTCTTGAAACAGCTCAGGAATGGAATTAAACTCCACCAAAGTTAAAGGGGAGAAGGAGAAAAGTCCTTGTTTACAGACCAACAGCATAAGGTCCTTTATTGAAATTCAGCGGCTGGTTAGACGTGTAATTCACCTTGCCAGGTAAAGTTGTAAAAGTTTTTGAATTGTTATTGTTCTTGAAAGTGTTATTTTGCCTCTGCTTGGAAGAAAAACAATCCCTGCCAACCAGCGCACCTGTCAGTCACCACTGTTAGTGTACAGCCGAAGCCCAGCGGAGCACGGCCGTGAAGCGTTTATCCCAACAAACTGCTGAACATCCGAGGGGTTTTTTTTTGTTTGTTTTTTTTTAGCAGTAGAATCCACTTCTAAAACACTGCCGTGGGCGATTCTTTGTCTCTTCTGTGTCAGCCGTTCTTTAACCTGGATGCAGCCGCCTCACTTTACTTGCATAATGTGTTTCCCCGTTATCGCCAAGTCCTGACATAAAACAAATCACTTACCGTGTGTAGCGTGCGAACAGCACCGTGTGACACACGGGGGTTGAATTAGTTATTGGTTAAGATCGAGCATTAAATGTTTGATTAATGTGTGGTGAACTTGGACAGCAGGTGGCAGCAGGTGTAGTGTTTAATTCGCACTCATAAAAATAACTTTTTATATATCATTTATTTACAGTACTGTGGTTAAACAAACATCAGAGGGAGCTGACTGCTGAAGGTCATGACTCCGGATGTTGTAGAGCTCAGTAAATACAGATACTGAACTGCCTTTGAGAAACCTTTGTGATCAAAGATGTTTTTGAAAGGTTGTTCCCATAACTTGGTTGATAACTCAGAGTTTCCTGTTTTTTCATGTATGTTTAATCTCAAATTAAAGAAAAAGAATCATCTGTGAGATTCATGTGTCAGAGCTACATTTGTCTTCAAAAATGATTGTGTGTCTGGATGAAGGACTGAAGAGCCTGATGGGAGTCACTGATGTCTTTTATTGTGTTGATGTCTTCAGTTAGGACTCTGTCAGGGTGTCTGCTCTTTACTGTTGTCCACTGGAGCCTGGGCCCTCATAATATTTTAATTAGTCTGATTGTGAGAGCTAATCAAATTGATGCTCCATTATTATTTACTAACCAACGGTCGTTTTCTCTTTTTTGTTTTTTCACCCTCACCTTCTCTCCACCTACTCTGTAGACCACCTGAGTGCAGATAAGGAGAAAAAGCTGGTCTTCCTCACAGCCCGTGTTCACCCTGGAGAGTCTCCTGCCTCCTTTATCTGTCAAGGTACAGTTCCAATGTTCTTTCTATGCCTTGTGGTTTTTTTATTAATCAAATGTTCCAAAAAGTAACAAATTCATAATGTCAAAATGGTGTCCCATAGCAGTTGGTACGTCTTATAAACACTGACAAATCCTTTAGCAACTTAGCAAACCTAAAAAAAATGATGTGCTGCACCAGGACGCATAACGAAAGTTATCTTATGATGGGCATGAAACACTAGAACGGTGTTTCCCAAACCTTTTTCTGGGGACCGATATTTTAAAAGTCACAAACCTTCACGACCCAAGTCAATAGACATTATTGGTAAATCCTTGGAACCCTGAGGTGACACAACCAAAAAAAAAAAAAAAAAAAAAACAGTCTTTGGGGGGATAACTAAAACCCATTGGGTACATTATTTCAGTCGGATGTAGGAGACAAACTGGTTTACTCTTTGACACCCTCCCATTTATGTATCTATCAATTGATCAGTGGATGGATCGATCAATCTATGTATCTATCCTTTCTGTCTGTCAGTCTTTCATATCTCACAGTATAATAAACTCCTGGTATCCAGATCAGATTTATTTATACACCGTGCTCCCATCCTTATTTGTGCTGTGTGTTATGGTCGTGTGCATGAATGTGTGTGTCTGTGTGTGTGTGTCACTGTGAATCAGGGAAGTTGGCTCCCAGCCTGTGTCCTGTCTGTTTTTCCATTGCCATCAGCTCCATTCCATTTGTATCGATTTAGGCTTGACGTCTCCTATTTCTCCCCTGATTCTGATGATGCCCCTCGCTGTCCTTCCTCCTCCTTTTGTTTTTCAAAACTCAATTAACTGCCAGTCTGTCTTCGTTTTTCTATTCATGTTTGTTTCTCTCTCACACACACACTCTCTCTCCCTCTCCCTCTCTCTGTGTGTGTGTGTGTGTGTGTGATAGGTGTGATTGACTTTCTGGTGAGCCAGCATCCTGTGGCTCAGATTCTGAGAGACCATGTGATCTTCAAGATTGTGCCCATGCTAAATCCTGATGGGGTCTACTTGGGCAACTACAGGTACACACACACACACACACACACTTTTTAATTCTTAATTTGAATGCACCACATGTTAAATAGAATCCACACATTACATGGTAATCCTGCTGTGTGGGATTATATCCTCTTAACTTCACCTTTAGGGAGCCTAATGAATTCATATAGCTCACAGCAGTGCATTTGTTAGCAGATAATATTTGGCCACTGGGCTGTTTTCCCTGCCAGTGTGTCCATCTTCTCCTCTCTCCCTCCCTCTCTCCCTCTCTCCCTCACACCACTGCTGCAGCTCTGTGGGTATCCTCCTCTCTTGTCTTTCTTTTATTCATAATTGCCTTTTACTTAATAGGCTCAGCTCCATGAATACTAATGTAAGAAGATCATTTAAGATAAGCATCAGCGGCTTGCCTGTGGTGTGTTTGCCATTGCCACCTAGTGGCAAAGCATCAGCACTCTTGCTAAAAACCAAAAACACACAGATGGATTGTTTGTTTTGATTTCCCCCTGAGGGTGACAGTGTCTGTGCTGCTGCTGTCATTCCTGCCCCCCTCCCACCCTCCAACAATGCTATTTTCATTTCAATTACCAAAGGTGAATATTGTCACCGATCTGTATGCACACCTTTCTGCAGATGTTTTTGCTGATCTGTCTCTCGCACAGACTCACAGCCATCCCTGCAGAACCCTGTGAACAGTAAACAGGACACACACCGCGCTCAGAGTCAACGTTAGTTAACCTGGGTTGAGTGTTGTTTTCATGGTCGGCTGCTCAGAGACTTCTTTGAATTGTTCTCTTTTCCAGTATTTCAGTAAATAGAAATGTTTTACACACAGTAAAACAGTTTGATTGTGAATGATTTAGAAATCTAAACAGAAAAAAGTGTTCTTTTGTTTTTAAAACAGCATTGACGGTGAAGATGGTGCTCTTTTTAAAATGTAATACAAACTTAAATTTAATTGAATGTATGTTATTAATAATGATAATTATACTTATAATAATTGTTCCTTTTTCTTCGTGTGTGTGTGTGTGTGTGTTTCCAGGTGTTCTCTGATGGGTTTTGACTTGAATCGGCACTGGCAGGATCCTTCTCCGTGGGCCCATCCAACGCTTCATGCTGTCAAACAACTTATAGTACAGATGAACCAAGACCCAGTGAGAAAGCATACACACACACACAGATTTTAAATGTGTTTTTGCACCACTGTAATATCCACTGGACCAACTTTTCTTTTTC